GAGCATTTATTTGTTGAGATTTGAAGTTGCCATTTGTTTGACCATTCTGATACATAGTCAAGATCTTTTTGAAGGGTAGCAGTATTGTCTGTGGTATTGAAAGCTTTACATCATCAGCGAAGAGAACGCAGTTGCTCTTAATATGATCAGAGGTCATTTATGTAGAGTATGAAGAGAGTTGGTCCTAGAACACTGCCTTGGGGGACACCACTATTGACAGGTACAGATTTTGATAGGACAATCCCAATTTTGACCATTTGTTGTCTGTTTGACAGGAATGCTTCTATCCAGTTATGCAGTTGTCCAGAGGTACCATAAGATTTTAGTTTTAGGAGTAGTTTGTCGTGTACCACTGAATCAAAGGCTTTACAGAAGTCTATGTATATTGCGTCTATTGTTTTGATCGAGTTGTGTAGTCCATATGTTTTTGCAGTGTAAGAGTTGTAGATTACAGGATAGTTTTTTTCTGAAACCAAATTGTTTATTGGAGAGTAGGTTGTTTGTTTCTAAGTGGAGGATAATGGATTGGTTAATAATTGATTGCATGACTTTACAGGTGATGCAGCATAAAGAGATTGGTCTGTAATTTTCAACTAGGCTGGGGTCTCCCTTTTTGAAGATGGGGATGACCGTGGTTTGTGACCATAGTTTTGGCAAGGAGCTGGTCCTCAAAGATTTTTCAAAGATTATGCTTAGAGGTTCTGCTATGGCAGTGGATAGCTGTTCTGCTATGGCAGTGGATAACTACTTAATGACCAGTCATTAACACCCCAATCAACAACTAGACAACCATACACAACCAAGCACCATGTAAATACTACACACAGAATAGCCCAATGTACATACTCTGCTAGAGAGAAATTTCCTGAGGATGGATTCCACCACAAATCTAGAAGTTTGCAAGACTAAACCTCTGTCTAGTCCAGATGACCGACCCAGATTGGATCCTGCAAGTTTTCCAAAGTTGTTGATCTGGAATTTTCTGGATGGTTCAATAGCTACCAATTTCATCTGACTGCAAAAACTATTCCACCCACCCTGCTGTTATTCTTCAGTCACCAGGTTTGTTTTTCATGTCTGTTCTCATTGGCTATGAAAAGTTGGTGGTGCAAGGGACAACTGGCCACTTTGCAAAGGAAAAAAGATTGGTTTAACTGGGGAGATGAGGGGGTAGGGATGGAGGCATCATGTAATTTCCGTTAGCTATTTAAAAAGGGGGCAGAAATTCCAGAAGGAAGAAGTTCCTTCTAATGGGAATTGCACAGTTCGAGAAGAAATGCTGCAAAGCTAAGCGTAAGCGCACCAACGTGCCTACCGTCCCTGTCCTATTGTTTCTTTTATTTTTCTTATATGTATCCATGTATTCATAACGATGTTTTTACTTATACCTATTATCTTGTAAGCAATTGACAAACCAAATAAAATAAAAATAAAAATAAAACAATGTTTCCTCAGGACCAGCTTCCCAAGCCCCATAACATCGTGAGAACCCAGAGATATGGATCTGATTTTTCATCTGCATAGCATTTGCATGTGGAGCTGCCTTGTATTGTATATTTTTCTCTTTTTTTCCTAGTGAAAAATGGATATTGTGGCTGTCCTTCAAGCATTGTTGCAACATAAACCTTGCTACATTGATCCCTACAGCAAAATATAGGTCTGTAGGTTTTTATTTATTACATTACAGCACCACTCACTAATTAAAGGTTTTAGGTTGTGTATAGATTAAAGATATAATACTGAACAGACAATAAAGCAATAACAATCATCCATGGAACCAATGCAGTATAATAGTAGCGGATATCTTTTAATCTCATTTGGAAATTTTGTTTCTCAGATCAATCTGATTTTATAGAGAATAGTGTGTAAAAATTATATTAGGCTCCCATGTGATATTTTTTTCTTGTTCAGCATTCTACAGAAATGACTATTTGACTAAGTCCGAAAACCATGATTTTAAAAATAAGTCTTTAGTTTTGCATGAAAGGAACTACAGAATTGGAAGAGCCTATGGAGAACCAAGTCCATTGGACAACCTAAGGAAAATGTAAATAAAAAGCTATGAAAAATAAGCAGCACAAGGAGAGAGCAAGCATATTAATTAGTGCCTTAAGATAGTTTTACCTGTATAGCAAGACTGAAAGTTACTAATTTTTCTGTGGAATGTGCCAAGTTAGTTATTCTATTAATCAGAGTGAGACAGATATTTCATCTGAAAATACTATCTGTGCCACATGATAACAATAAGAGCAGTGTTTGTTTAGTTTGGGCACAGTTTAGCTAACGTACTGCAAGTGCAACCAGTTTTACCTCAGTCATGTTTTCACTTTTTTATATAAGCCAAGGTCTCTTATCTGGACTACCTTTGCTGTTTGCCGTATGCAGTTTATATTTAAGTCCAAAGTCTTATTTCAACGTAGCATAGCTAACAGCCACCTAAAATAACTTCTCATGGAGTGCTGTAATTAAAAAACAACTGAATAGTCATAATATGAATATGTAATAATGTAATATGAACTATAACCTTATAGTCCTATACCTTTTATATCTAAAATAACCAATTAATTTCAATTAAGTTTTACTCTCAGGAAACAAACAACCCATTGCTTGGTTCAGTTCATAATTTATTTATATGTTGCATTAAATCATAAAACAGTTTCTTTGAATTGGATTTAACATATTGCATGCTATTTGTCACTGTATGTCATTGTGTGTAATTGGTTTGCAAATCTGGCAAATATTGCCAATTGTGAATTTTTTAAATCTAAAACATGATTAAATAAAACATGGCTTTAAAGTATTGTGTGAATCCAGTCATTATAAATTGAAGTGGATATGTTCTTATTCTCTTTGTGACTTGAATTAGAATCAGAAACTTTATAATCCAGCATGGATTGCTTTATTTTAAGTAAAAGTGAACAGTTTGGATAATATTGATCTATTTTATTTCTACCTGAATCCTTTTTTATTTTAAGTTAAGTTCTTGATTAATTAGAGCTTGGCACTTGCTGACCTCTTGGACATGCCCCTTTTGTTTTCTTCACAATAATGTGAAAGTGGTTCCTTTTTTTTTCAATTAAAAGTGGTTCCTTTTTTTTCAATTTCCCAATCCAGTCTAAAGATTTAAGACTTCTTGATAATCTCCCATCCAGTAATTACCTAGATCTAGTCCTGATCCTTTGTTTAAAATCTCTCTCTCCCTCCCTCCCTCTCTCCCTCTCCCTCCCCCCCTCCCTCCCTCCCCCTCCCTCCATGTCTGTCTGTCTGTCTGCCTGCTTGCCTGCCTGCCTACCTATCTATCTATGGTATCTATCAAAATGATTTAGCTGCCAATTTTACAAGAAATGACTGGGCTGCACACAACAAAGATACTAAACATGTCAAAATAGCAATAGCACTTAGACTTATATACCACTTCACAGTGTTTTATAGCCCTCTCTGAGAGATTTACAGAGTTGGCATATTACCACCCTAACAATCTGGGCCCTTATTTTTGTTAATAACCTTTAATGGATCTAGCCAAAATTAATTTTAAAAAATGTTTATGGTCAGAGTAATTCTTTTATTGTAGAAATGTAAACTTACATTATGTCTATGTTCTCTCTTAGGTACATCATTCTTCCAGGGGAGAGATGAGAGAGCGCTCAAAACCAAAAAACCCAAAACTTTTTATACCTGGTGGGAGGGGAATGTGCAGTGATGCATCATGGAACTTGTATGCTTAACATGAGGGACGGCAATACCAATGTTTGCTTATGTAATAAAGCAGATTGACATTTTACCTTAACAATTTTATCAACCTTGGAAGGATGAAAGTCTGAGTCAATCATGAGCCGGTGAGACTCAACCAGCCGAACTGCAGGCAAAAGAATCCCAATCATTATTTAAAAGTTTTTTTTAAAAAAAATCATACATTTAAATTAGCAAGGGAGCCACTTCTAGATCTCGACAGTCCTCTGAGACCCCCAGGGGATTTCTGGAAAGTAACTAAGGATGGAACTGACCTCACTTTAGGAGGTGAAGAGAATGTACCATGAGGCAGAAGCCACAACAATAACAACAAAAGGCCCATTTCCTGAGGCCTATCAAGTGTGATGCCCTAATAGTCCTCCCATGGGACTCACCCACAGCATGCCTCTTCTGCTGGATCTGATGGAATAGGCTGATGTAATTGGGGAGAGGTAGTCCCTCCGATAGCTCAGTCCCATTCCATGAAGGGTTTTAAAAGTCAAAAACTTAAAAGTCAAAACTAATCCCTTGAATGGATCCAGAACCAATACAACAGAAGTGTAACATGCTGAAGCACACATAACTACACGTGCATTAGGTGGCCCAATGTAGAGTGCATTACAATAATCCATCAGGGGGTGACTAAGCATGATTAACTGCGAACAGAGCTCTCCAATCCAGCAACATGCACAATTGATACATAACATGAGGCCCTCCTAACCATGGTTGCCACCTGCTCTTCAAGTAGGAGTCACAAGTCCAGGTTTTTTTTCACCCAGACTGGGGCAGTGCTATCCCCTCAGTCACAAAAATGGCATCGTCTTCAGTGGTGGGATTGAAAATTTTTTACTACCAGTTCTGTGGGTGTAGCTTGGTGGATGTGGCATAGCTTGGTGGGCATGGCAGGGGAAGGATACTGTAAAATCTCCATTCCCTCCCCACTCCTGGGGGAAGTTTACTGCAAAATCCCCATTCCCTCCCCACCCCACGAACCTGCTTTCCAGCTCCATTCTCCTGTGCAGGTCAACAAAAGAAGACCCAGCCGATCAGCTGGGACCTCGGAAGGCAGAGAATAGATGGGGGCGGGGCCAGTCAGAGGTGGTATTTGCCAGTTCTCCGAACTACTCAAAATTTCTGCTACCAGTTCTCCAGAACTGGTCAGAACCTGCTGAATACCACCTCTGATAGTCTTGGAACCTGCTGACCCCAAGACCTAAAGCCATTAAATCTTGCTAGCGTTCAGCTGAAGCCTGTTATCCAGAGCCTCACCGTCTCCAGAGTCCAGACGCAGGATAAAACATTCACACAAATTTGCAGGTCACTCTGGGCAGCATAAATAGTTTTAAAAAAGAGACTAACAATCATAACCTTCCACCATTAAAATCAATTTATAAAGAGTTAAAAGCTACAGTTAAAATGTAACAAAAAGGCGGGAGTCTGAGCTCTAAATTTCCTTGGGATCCCTAAGCTTGATGGCACATCCCAGTTTTGAGGGCCTTCCAGAAGGCCAGAAGGGTTGGAGCCAATCTCATCTCAGGAGAATGAGGTTCCATGAGGGCCAGTGGCATGGCAGAAAAGGCTCCCTTTCTGGATTCTGCCAAGCAAAGCTCCTTCTGCTGGTCCTGATGGGATGGATAGATGTAACTGGAGAAAAATAGTCCTCAAATAACATGATAAAATGCCCTTACGGCTTTAAAGATCAGTACGACAGGTAGTCTTCAACTTACAACTACAATTGAGCCCAAAATTTCTGTTACAAAGCAAAGCATTTCTTTTTGACTTTTCTTGCCACCGTTGTTAAGCGAATCATTGCAGCTGTTAAGTTAGTAATACCTTTGTTAAGTTAATCTGATTCCCTCACTGACTTCTGGTCAGCAGGTTGATGCCAGGAAACAGCAACTGTCATAAATAGGAGTCAGTTACCAAGCATCTCAATTTTGATCACACGACCATGGGGATGCTGCAATGAATAGTCACTAAACGAACTGCTGTAAGTTGAGGACTACTGGTATTTATCCTATTTTGAAATCGGTCAAGGTATTTTAGTCATTTTGCTAAAAGTAGATATCAAAGTATACTTCGATGGCATGAAGTATGTAGGTGTTGCATCTTCAAATCAATTCTTACCTAGTTTTCCTCAGTAACAAAAGAAAGTTATAAATTTTGCAGTATGATACAATACACGACATTTCAGCATGGGAGGCACGCACCCAAAATTTGTGTCATGTGAATCACCATTTTATGCAGTCAGCAAAATCACTTGTCGCATGCCTGTGAGATTGTAAAAAATAAAAATTGCAGCAGCCTTAAGCCATCCGGTGCAGGAATGGATTCAATCAGCAAAACGTGATGTTGCTGATTGAATAAATTTCTGCACCGGATGGCTTAAGGCTGCTACAATTCTTATGTTTATAATCTCATGGACATGCAAAACTCATGTATACCTGCATCTAAAAAAAAAAAAAAAAAGTATATCTGCCTAGGAGGCTTTTAAAGTAGTGTGAAATTGGAGCTTTGGGTATGACAAGACCTACCTCAAGGATACCGTCCAGAGAATGGATGTTCTTTTTTT